AATGTTGAAGTCTGTGTCATATTTCTTCAATAACTTACATGTCTATATATATATATATATATATATATATATATATATATTTAGGTGATAATATTTTAAAGTACTTTCGTAAAAATTTGGATAATTACCAAATAACACGCACTAATTATTTCTTCAGTTATGCAGTCTGGTAATGTAATAGGCGTTATTCGTGTACGTTCACGTTTTACCTTTAAGGATTAGCATAATATAAAATGCTAAACTGGCTCGTTTTAAATTACTAAAGCTTGTTGAAAACTCATTTAGCATGTGCTTAATCCTATTATGTTGCAGATAAATATATTCCATGAACTTTTATAGAAACGTGAACTTTAGTCGATTCTTGGATTAATTTTAATCTTTGCAATTAATTTTATAGATTAGCATACTGAGAAAAGGCGGTGTTTAACGTAAAGTTTTAGGAAAGGAAGATAAAATAATTAATCACGTAATTTATTCCTACCGAATGTAAAGAATGCAACACTTACTGTGAAGTAAGGCAAATAAATAGGAAAAAACATTTCATTACGTACGAGTTAATTAGTTGGAATGTAAAAATCAGTTGATCTTTCCTGCATTCGCTGTTTTTATTTGTTTCAACTATTATTATTTTAAATAAGAATATAACTGTTATTTATTGCAACAATTTGTACAAATGTTTTATTCTATTGACTCTTTAAATCACCAGCCATAAAAGAAGACACAAGTTTAAATTATTATACTTACGAAAACCGCCTGGAGATGCTGTATACTATCACGTTAGAATGTATTACTATATACAGAATGTTGTCTTCCTTGTAGATATTACGTAGGTATGACATAGAATCACACGTGTCCAAATACACACACACAGAAGTTATGAGCTATTGTCTCAGCAAATTTGTTTGATTTATATGAAAATTAAAAACAATATATTAACCTATAAAGAGAAAACTTAGTTTTTTTAGATTTTGCTTAAAGCAATGCTCTTGGAAAGTTCTATTCTGTATTTTTTTGTTACGTCATGTGTCAGCATATATAAGCGTGTCTATCTTGAATAACGATTTTCTTTGATAAACTATTAGATCAAAACTATCTGCACTAGCCGTCCCTAATTTAGAAGTGTAAGACTAGAGG